GGAGTTACAGGCCATGCATGCACAAACCTCAAATCCATCTTGCCATGAACTTTTGGACTTAAAAGTTCTTGGCACAAACCTGACCAGGTGGCTTTTTTAATTCACGAAAGCGTGCGTCTTGTATGATGATTTTTTTAGTGTCCTATAAAGGTGTTGCCTGTTGTTTTTTGCATTTTATTTTGCATGGACCACCTGGCTACCCTTTATTGAGTTGGGAAGAAGGAGAAGACCACAGACATCCTCCTGGGCAGGCAGGTCTGGAGGCAAAGGGACCTTTGCAACTTTTAGGGCAGGAAGAATGCGCAAGTTAGGACACTTTGGGGCAGAATTCCTGCCCCATCCCAGAACGCGGAGAGGAGCGGTGCACTGAGCTTAAAAAAAAAAAGAAGTCACCACAAGAGCAAAACGCAGACTGGAACTACACTCCTGGTTTGGAAGAGATAAGAACGGTGCCCATGGGGGCTGCCCTAAGTCTGGATTAGCGATTCGTCCTTTTGTTCACTCCCTGTTTTCCAGCCAATCCACACGCTCTATGATCTTCTCCTCCACCCAAGGGCCAGTCTGCGGGCTGTCTCTGCCCCTTGAAAGATGGCTTTCGGTTGGAAAGCAGTCTTGAAGCTAGCAAGTGAAGGCCAGCGCATGTATGAGAAAGAGGTGCCACTCACCCACCTGCCTTTCCATCTCCTGCTTCACTCAGAATCCTGCTCCCTCACCTCACTGCCCCCAACAAGAACCTTCCCAGCTGCAAAGGGGAAGACACAGGCCTACGTACCCTTTCTCCCATAGGGAGGAATACAGAAAGAGGGGTGCAGTGGCCCTTGGCTCTCAAACTGGGGCCCCCAGAGGATCTTGGACTACAGTTCCCAGAAGCCTTCACCACTTGCTTTGCTGGCCAGGATTTCTGGGAGCTGCCGTCTAAGAATCTTTGGGGACCCAAGTTCGGGAACTACTGGTTTATAGCATGGACCTAAGAATCTCTGGGGACCCAAATTCGGGAACTACTGGTTTATAGCATGGACCCATGGACTTTGACACTGTCCCCTACAACAAAGACAGAAGCATCTGAAACACGGATTTATCACAGGACTCCAGGCACGTTTTTGGGTCAAGAGGGCGACCAACAAAGATGTACTAATGAGAATGCATGACGATGAGGAAATCAGGTGACTCACGGAATGTGGGAAACGAGGATACTCCTGTCACATCATGAGAAATAAGAACTCTCTACCTTTCCTCATTCAAGGCAAACTAAATGCAAAAAGACGTATAGGAAAAAGAAGGATCTGGGAGACACAACTGGCATCATTGTTCGGACCAGTCACATCCGAACTCAAAACATCCACCATGATGTTCTGCTTCGGTGAGGAGGGGAATGAGAAGAAGAAATGGCAAGAAGTTGATGGGTGAAATAACTCTCCTTTTCTGCCTCTCCTTTAGCCTACAACCTGCTTTTCAGCAAAAGAGAAAAGTCAGAGAGAAAATACCTAATCCTCATCCAAATGGACACAGAAAGAGTCGTACAACTGCAACCCTTTCAAGGTTTTGTCACCTGCACAGTCACAAACAGTGACCCTGCACGTCGGCCAGTTAACATTTTGAGTTTTCTTTCAGCAAGCAACCACAAAAAACTGTGGGGGACCTGGAGAAATCGATGGAAAAAATCCATAGATCCTTGCTAGGAGCATGCTCTCTCCCCTCCTCCAGGACAACATGAAGTATTGGGGTGGAGTGGGGTGGGAAAAATGTCCCACAGAGTTTTTCAGAAGCAAAATTAAGTGGCTCAGAGAGACACAATGTCTTCCCATGCAAGACAGAGTCCACAAGTATCCTGCTGATAAGAGCTATTTCTAGGCTCCCTGTGATCGGGAAGGCCAAGGGTAAAAAGGGAAAAAAAAAGTATTTGGCTAATTTGTGCTTGCATGCCAAAGGGCACAGAGACTGAGGATTAATCCGGGAAGACAGTGATGTTGTTGGAGAAGACAGCCAAAGCTGCTTCATCAAAAGGGTCTGTTTGTTTCGATTTCCAACCGTCTTGCTTCTGTTCTGGGTGGGGAGATTTAGAAAGGCCCAAGGGAGTGGCTGCCACTTGACATCGCTGAACTGAAGCGGCACACGGGCCGACCGCTTCTGGTGGTAGCGGGCATGATGCAGAACATCAACCGTCAGAGGAACTGCAGGGATTCGTCCTCAGGGTGCACAGTGGGCAATAATAACCTGATTAGATTCCTCTTAATCACGAGATGATCACCATCGGTCTAAGACGCTTTGCAGCCTGAGGTTGCAAACGGCAAATGGCGCTCAGCCTCCCATCACACACGGGAAGGAGTGTATGACTCAAAAGTGAGCCAACTTATTTTGGCACACGAGGAAGAAAATACCAAAAGCATCTCTCCCCCATTCCTTGCGCTAAAAGCACAATGACAACAAAGTAAAGAGCAAGCCATTTGCTGCATCTTTATGAGGTCTCGGCTTTACAGCTTGAGGCCGCAAGCTTCACTCAGCCTAATGGAAGGGCCATCCCTGAAGATGCTTGAGTTTTTACACACACACACACACACACACACACACACACACAAAGGGAGAAAAAGAGCAGGCACATGTGTGTCTGTGAGACTCCCATTTCGGGTGGCGGGGCATACAGTGAATCTATTCTGGGTCTTCATCTAGGCCTCACAGGAGCTCTCCAAGGTGCTGAAACTATCAGGCATATTGGATAACTCCTGTAAAGTGCAGAATTAAATCCGGAGTGGAGTCACAGTAACCCCGATTCTGAAGTCACCAGCTGCCACTGAAGCAGAACATCTGACATGCTAGCTACCTCTTCGGACGCTTGTTCTGCAGCTCTCATGGGATAAAACCATGGACAGACCAAAGCAGTAATGAACCAATGATTGGGGTTGTTTCAAATAGTCCCCGGAACAGTAAACCAAGATTATTATTTTTTTACAGCTGTGACATCCATGGCAGATGCAGCCTGAAATGCTGCAAGGAATAAAGTTTGGTTACTCTGCAGTATAGTGATTAGAGTTAGGTGCACCACTGGGAATTCATGAGCACTACTGCGAAAAAGAAAGAAAGAAAAAAAGGAAGGAAGGAAGGAAGGAAGGAAGGAAAGACAAAGGAATGGGAGACCTTACAATTAGCAAAAGCTGATTGATCCTATCTGGTTTTGAAAGCTAAACAGGGTTAGGCCTGGTTAATGCTTGGATGGGAGACCACCAAGGATCTCACATTAGAGCTAAGGATTGGCAGCACTGAGTCAGATGGACCAACGGTTGAGCTTGAGAGAAAGCAGCTTCTTTCCTACCTTCCTAAGTTCCAGGGACAAAATAAGTTGGACTCTCCCCTCCTTCACTTAGAAGGATTACTTTCACTCCTCTTTGGCTGTGTCTAAGAATGTACAAACAAAGCCATCCTTTTTTTGCCTCAGTGCATAATGATGTGATATTACTGGGGAAAGGCAGAAAGCCGGACATCATCCTATGCCAACAGGTATAGGATAAGACAAGTACATGGCAAGTCAATAGATTGTTATCACGGCAATTCTACAACGGAGTACTTCTGCTGTCATCAGCACCCACGTTGAAGGGTGTGCACCCACCCAAGAGGAAGCAAAACCCTCCAAGATGTACATACACGGGACCTGTTCTTGGCAAATCGGTAAAGGGCCTGGTGTTGACAGCTAACCCTAACTTGTTTCCTTAATCTCACAGCTTCCTTGAGCAGGCAAGGAGACATTGCCCTCCCCTCAAGCCCTCATTCGGGTCAACAGCCGCCCCTGTTGCAATGGTCATTCCTTGGGGTGGGGGTACGGGAGTCTGCCAGGCAAAGCACCCAGACATTCCAGCATGTTGCAAACCAGCTGTAATCATCAATGTGGTGCCCTTTGCAAAAGAGAGGCAAATGCCACATGTTGGTTGCATCCGTCCTACTAGACAGGCATTTCCCAAGAGTGCCAAAGCGGGTGGCGGGTGGGTTCTGTAGAAAGAGCCCTGCCTTGACCCCTGCGACAGAGCTTCGGCTGGCTCCAGGGTGGATGACGGGAGAGGACAGGGCAGCCTCTTCTGTCCAGGCATTTCTTTTGCTTCTGGACGGGTGGAGGAGGAGGAGAGGATGTCACCCTGGAGCTGTTCCTCGCTGACCTCTTCAGTCTGATGGAAGACATTAGGAGATCATTTCAGTGTTTCTCCCTCTGGTTGTCCAACCTTGTCTACGCAAAGGATTGGGCCTGGAGGAGCTAACTTAATGGAAATCAATGACAAGGAGCCCTCCCTTCTAAACCTATATGAGCTAAAGTAGGACAGGATTCCATCAAGCCACGCGACCCCAGGCAAGAGCAGGTGAGAGTGATTGGAACTTATATGGAAGATGTTGAAAAGAGAGAGAGAAAAGGTCATATAATAAAATGAATTCCTGATACTTTGTTCCGATGATGCCTTTGGTGATATTTGAGGACATCCTGTTGAAATGAAAGGTGTGTCAAGCTAATGCCCCACAGATGGCCATCCAGTCAAATAATTTAAACAGAACTTGCTGGTCACACTCTGGCCACTCCTTTATATCTCCGACCTCTGCGCCTGGAAAAGTTACTTTTCAGGTGGTTCCCCACACTCTGGCCACTCCTTTATATCTCCGTCCGACCTCTGTGCCTGGAAAAGTTACTTTTCAGGTGGTTCCCCCTCTGAGATCCCCAGCCAGTGTTGCTGACTGCAGATTCTGGGAACTGCAGCTGAAAAAAAGTAACTTTTTCAAGGCTTGATAGATCTTGCTTTCATGTGAAGCAAACAGCTAATCTTATCCTTCTGTCTCCACCCACCTCCCCCTGCTTTACAAGGGCTTCTGCATTCCTTTGCAAATTAGAGCAGGAAAACAAAGCAAAAGCCTTTCCCCACTCCCTCTTCCGTAAGCCACATTTTAAACAACAGTTGTGCCATTGTTCCTGGGTGTCTCTCTAAGGGCCCCCTTGTTTTTATGCTGAAAACCTGCAGAACAACTTTCAATATCCCTATTTTTTCTTTTATCAGGTCACGGCCCTTAGGAAAGGGGTAAGTTTAGATGGTGTATGTTTATACTTCTAATCAGGGGCTGGGCTATGCCTGCTGAAATGTCCTCTTCTGCACAGCTACCCAAGCGACGCCAGGCTGGCCCTCCTTTTCATGCAGCCGCCCGACCATCAATCTGTCCTCCGATACACCCCAGTAATTGCATTGGAGAAATTGCTACACCTACTGCAGGAGACGTTATAGATTGGACTGCTGCTTATGGGGAGTGACCTTAATTAAGGATTTGTTCTCCTACAAAGCTGGCAACCCTCGGGTAAGTTGTCAAGCCGACAGAGTATTAACGGAATTGAGCTGAGGGAATGCTGGCACAGGGGACCCTTGCCCCGCCTGCTATTCCCGCAGCTGGAGTGGTCTTAAAGCAAGGCCAGCTCACGGCAGGTCTACTAGAGAGAAGGGGAAGCAAAGTCAACCTTGCAGCCTTGTACCCCTCGCACACAGGGGTGCCTGCGCTCAGGTAAGCATTGGTTAAACCTTTGCTTCAAGAATTTGCTCACAACATCTGCTGGAATTCTGTCCCCATGACTCCAGCATGAAGTTCCTTTCTTTCTGCACCAAATCTGGCCCTGAAGCTGTTTTAGGGGCATTTGGGGGAGACCAAAGGGATGCTTAGAATTATTTTTTTCAAAGAAGCAAAAATTAATACAGCCAGGGGGCGGTTGATTTCTGCATGAGCACTGGACTTGTTCATGGGTACAGTTCCCTGTGAATATCGTATTTCACATTTAAGACCAAGCATGTCGCTAGAGAGAATACTCGGAGTAAGACCTCATGAAATCTCAGGAAAGAGCAATTAAATAGTATTCTGGGGAGGAAGCTGGAAGCTTGTTTTCTCCCCCCCCAATAGACCGCAAAACCATAATAAACAAGTCAGTACAGCGAAATTGGCAGAATAAATTATACCAGCCAGTTACAGTGAATTTCTCTATCTGAATAAGCCATACAGCTAGTAATTTGGGCACCGAGCTTAAAGTGTTTTTATGCAGACTACACATGGTCTCTCTGAAAGTCCACTGTGGTTTTTGATGACTAGAAAACCTCCTCTGCATAATCAGGCTCTAGGACAGAAGGTGCCTCCCTTACGAGATGCCGACCTGTCCAGGGTGCAGGCGTAAGCGGCATTTACAGCTAACCATTCCTCCCTTTTCTCCTTCCACAAAAGTAGCCCTTTCGGAAATCTAGCGGCTGAAAATGCCTCGGGTCCCATTTTCTGGCTCAAGAGATGCTCCGTCATTATCTCCCTGCTCTTTCCAGCTCAATGGGTACATGAGATCAGGGTGAGTAACTTACAAGTCATCTTGGGGCTGTGGGGTGATGATGACCAAGTTACATATTTAATCTTGTTCAGTCAGCACACCTGATATACAGGTGACAAAAGGGTATTTGGCTGCTCTGCCCCATGCAAGGTATATGTGGATTTGAGGCAGAACCGATCCTTAATGTTTCCTCCAAACTAAATCTGCTGTTTGTCCAGGAGTCCAGGAATATATTCTGGCACTGATGGTAGATTACAAACAAGAACCAACAGTAACCACCAGGCTTTTTAAAATCGGGTGCATCAGTTGTTTATGTAGTCAAGGTCAGTTCCACTGGATTTTTCAGCAGTTCCTGGATTCCTTACTGAAACTGGATATGTCTCTAGATGTGTTATTCTACTGGAGCAAAAACGACAAAGTGTATTTAGCCTCAGCTTTCACAGATTCCAGCCCACGTGCAACAGAAGAAGTGGTCTAAAGTCCATAAAAGCTTATGCCAGATAAACCCCTGTTGGTCTTTTAAGGCACCAGGAGACCCTTGGTTGGCTCTGAACACACTGTAGGAATCAAGCTACGGGGACAGACGAAACTTTGGGGGTGATCCAGCAGTGCTTTTAGGTTCTCACCCACGTTGCGAGGTAGTGGCTTAGGAGTGCACGTTACCAGCAGCCTGCCTGTTGGTGTGAAGAATGCAGCCATTTCTCACAGATGCAGATTCCGCTTGCACGGCCAAGCTAGACTACTGCGATATGCTATATATGGGGCAACCCTTGATTATATTTCAAAGGTTTCAAATACTGCCAAACCCTGGTGCTTGATTTCTGACGGAGATACATGTGGCAGACCACATTGTGCGAGATGACCTATTGTTTTGCCCGGTTCAGGTAGTGGTCAACAACCAGGCCTAAATATTGTGGGTCTGCATAATTGTGGGACTTCCCCCACCCCTATGGCCCACTAGATCAATTAAATTGTCTTCCCTTTGGACATTCCTTCTCCCTAAGGCATACAAAAGACGGAGCAGGTACATCTTCCAGAGACTCTACAAGATCCGTTTAATCAAGCTAGATCAAGCCGGCCAGGGATAAACTGGAACAATTAGTGTTCTTTTATCCATCCCATAAGCCCAGAGAAAGAGAGAGAGAGCAGGGCCAGAAGTCCAATCAATCAACAGTATTGAACTACCACAACTCCCGAAAACTATCTCAGCTGCAAGAAACCATTTCACAGTTCTTTTAAAAACACACACATATAAATGCTCAGCCCCAGGGTTTTGCCAGAATGCACAGCACCATAGATACAGCAGCTCTCCAAAGCGACGTGTACATAATAGATCTTATGAGACACCCTTTTTAAAAAAAAGATGGAGGTGTTTTTAAAAGAACTGTGAACATTTACTTATATATAAGTAATGTTTTGCACTGTTGTTGCTTATTCAGATCATAGGTAGTCTTTCTTAAGTGGACTGACTTTAGCTAGCAGGGCAAGAAGCCAGAGCATGTATATGGCACTGAACCATTTTCTAGCTGCAAATTCCTGCCTGTTATGAACTTGCCGTGGAAATGTTGGGTCTACTTGACAGCGCCTTAAGGTCATGGGCAAAAGAAAGCATTTTCTTTAACTTTCTGACCTGTCCCAAGGAACTGTCAACGCAGCGCGTTGTTCAGCGGTTCACAAGGACTGAGGGGACCATTTCCTGCCAGAACAGAGAGAACATCAGGTGGCCGGCCCAAAACAGCCTAATTAATGGGCAAAACAGCTTCGGCGGCTGTTTCCTTATCTTAAGGGACAACTGCTTCACACATTTGGTGCGCATCCCATATTGCTGACTCTGTGACAATATGGCACCATTACAGCTCCGTTGGTATCCTTTTCAGGGGACTCTTAGCTATTTTGGAAGGAACTCCACAACTCAGTCCATGCTTATTGTGACCGCACGCATGTGATGAAAATACGTTGAAAGGTAAGACAAATATTGCAAGTACAGATTATGTTCAGAAAAAAAGAGAGGCTTTTTTTTTGAATCTCAAGTCTGGGAACCCCCCAGTGAACATGGCAGCTGGCTCATGCTGGATCGGGAGTAGCTATAGTTGAAAAAGAAACTTTCCCAAGCTCTAGATACACAGGAATGCCACAGCAGACTCTTCCAGTGCTGGTGCTGTATTCTGATCTCTTGTACAGTATTAGCTTTCTCTTTTATTTAGATTTTGCGTACAGCATCTGGGTGACCCAGAATCCTGCCTGCTTTCTGCCTGTGTTATTTCCCCACGTGCAGTCAGAGAAAAAAAAATTCCCAGGATCAAACAACCTGCTGAGTCAAGTTCTCGGTGCTCTTTGCCTGCAGGCTCAAGCGGGGGGGGGGGGCAGGATCACAAAGTTAACACCCCCTGACTTCTGCTGAAGTTCTGCAAGTCTTGTAGAAGAATATGACCCAAGAACCAGCTTGGGTGCAGTCAGAGAAAAAAAAAATTCCCAGGATCAAACAAACTGCTGAGTCAAGTTCTCGGTGCTCTTTGCCCGCAGGCTCAAGCGGGGGGGGGGGCAGGATCACAAAGTTAACACCCCCTGACTTCTGCTGAAGTTCTGCAAGTCTTGTAGAAGAATATGACCCAAGAACCAGCTTGCTGTCCCAGTTCCAACTCTTTGCAAGGAAGTAAAAGGACAGCAGGGCAGAGACAGAACTCCCCAAGTTTTCTGTTTGAGGAAGGTTTCCGTTTTCGGGTTGGGGCCCATCTCCCTGGAGGCGGAACATGAATCCGCAAGGCTCAGCACCTCCTGCAGCTCCTTTTCAAGTGCATGGTGTCCCAACGGACTGCTCAATGGCTTGCGTGCTCTCCCACTTGCCCCTATGAAGTGCTGAAGGATGTTTAAAAAAAAAAGTTGGCTCAGAGTTCCAAACAGAGAAAGAGATCCACCAAGGCTGGAGCTGAGCAGCCTGGCAAACATCTGGATGAGTGCATGCAAGGCCCAGTGACAAAGGAAGGCCAACACATCCTGCTCCTTTTTCCCCTTTTCTTTTCAGACTCAGAGGCTGCCAGGGGAAAAAAGGAAATCTGGCAACAGGAGGAGAAGCCTGCTGATCTTATTTCTTCGAGTCGGGCATTGTGCTAATTTTTCTTCATTTTAAGTGGACCCTTTCAGTGTTTCTCTGCGTGGTGGCTTCGGCACTGTGTGTTATTTTAATTATCAGCGGTTTAAAATGCATACGTTATGCCCTGAGTATTTGCTGGGGAAAGTGACCATTTTTAAGGAGGAAAAAAAGGCCCGCAAGAAATGCTAGAGAAGACCAGTTCCTCTTTGCTTCATGCACACAAACATCTGTGTGTAAAAACCTGCCTACAGAGGCTTCATTCCAGGAATATATGACAAATGGGCTACACTCCACAGAAGCTGGTGTCAAATTAAATCTGTTCGTCTTTAAGGTGCAATAGAATATTTGTTCTGTTTGCTAGAGGTTTTTTTTTCCACTCAAGATCCAGATTTCTTGCTGGTTTCTTCTGCATTTCCATAGCCCTTCATGCTGAAGGGAGAAATGAGCTGAGCCCACAGAACCACTGCAGGATCCACATGCGCACATCACGAAGCCTTCCTTGGTGCCTGCGTTGGTTGCTGTGGGATCTTTTGGCCCATCAACAGTTCTGCTTAATGGGAAGATCTGTCCAGTGAGTGACACCACCTTCTGCACCTGTTTGCAAGAATGGAAGGCCCTGTCTGCAGCTTCAGATAGGATACTGGAACCACTGGATGTCCTTGGACAGTTACGGGGCAATCATGCTACTCTGTGCGGATTTTATTGGCTGCATAGCTGGTCTGTCTGCCACATTGGTGGGTATGGCAATAAGGGAAGGGATTGTGCACAGAAAGGATTGGATAGTACTGAATGATCTCCAAAGATGGAATGCGCCTCTGAGCAAATGCTACGCAGACCCCTTTCCCCACTACATAAGACACTCTGGAAAGGAGTAAAGAATCCCGAAGCTCTTGTGGGCGGCTAGCACAGTATTTCCCCAAGACCTGGAAGAAAGTTTGCCTAGATGCAAAGGCAGACAGGGCTCTTATGCCTTTAAGCTTCAAGGAAAAGCTCAGTAGGTTCTATGCCAGCAGTGTAAACCTGGCTTTGCAAATTGTTATAATTGCATTCTAATTAAACTGTCTTGATCCTTCTCTTGTGCAGGAGCTGAGCCTCCCAAAATTTATAGTTTTTTTAAAAAAGGCAGATACACATCTGTAAATATGGCACACAACAGGAGCAGAGTTGGAGTTTGCGCGCCTCCGTTTGCTCATAATGCACCCTCCTCCCGTTCTGTTGCCTCCTCTGCCTCCCACCGCCTTTGTCAAAATTTAGATCGCAAGCTCCTTGGGGTGAAGACCTTTCCATTTTGCTTACAATGCTATGAAACCCTTCCACGTGCTTCGACAACATGGTGCAATAAAAATAAAAATAAAACCTAATTAAGGTTTCCAAATTAGATTTTAGTACAAGTAAACCTAATTAAGTCTGCACAATACCTCGGGTATTCCATCCTGCAAACCACAGCCTGAGGCTTTTACACCATGCTCAGCAACAACCCTTTTCTTTCTTCAATCCTCAGAGTTTTATCTCGGCCTCAGAGCTCGGCAAATGCACAGCGGGAGACTGCAGTTCCCGAAATCTGGGAGTTGCAGTAAAAAAAACAAAAACAAAAAACCAAGCCAAGCTTACTTTAGCTCTATAGCAACGTCCACCAAGTAAGTTGTCAGGGCATGTGGGCTCCTCACTACTATTAATATTATTAGTGGATCCCCACTAGTGTCTCCTGTCAAGAAGAGTTCCTGGAAACTTAAACGCTAGTTTGCGACTTCCACCCTTCTCTTCTGCAAAGTTCAAGGCTCAGCAATGCAGACAACAAGGAGACTCTCTTCCATTCCCAGGAGGAACAAATCATCTTTACAATTCAAATCTTCTCCCCCATTACCTTAGTTCTGGCTCTTTTCCCATAAGATAACAGGTGGCAGATTCTTGGCTCCCTGTTTTCTTAGGCCAGGGGTGGGCCACGTGTGGTCCGGGGGCACCAAGGAGCCCCAGTGTTGCTTTGAAAACCCCAGACCTACCCAAAGCCCCTGATATTTTTTTAAAATGTACTCTACATTTATTCATTTACTTAATGCTACAAAACTATTCCTCCCCCCTGGGTCTTTGGGAGGTGCGATTCTGGAGTCACATTTTTATGTGTCAGGGGTGTCTAGCCCTCCAAGCTCAGAGCAAATGCTTGCTGGAGACACTCGCTCTTGCACATATTATTTGGCTGCATATGGGGTGTCAGTCAGAAACCCTGATATCAGTGTATTATGCAAGAAAACAGAGAACCAACCCACCCACCCCCCGCAACACGTCCACTAAACATGTTTGAGCTCCCGTTTGTGGAAACACCGGGAAGGAAATGTGTTCATCAGGGTGAGTAAAAGATGACATGCCTTCCCCCGCCCCTCCGGGCTCCCACTGTGTTTATGTTCTATCCATTCTCTGAGCCAGCGTGAAGAAAGCAACCTCTGGTCCCAAAGGAAAAGCTGGACTTCCAGCCCCTCCGCCCTTTCCAATAGCAGGAGAAGGGGAAAAAATGGTTTCCTCCTTTTGCTACTGTTCCCTACTAAGCTTTCAGCTAGATGGAAATGGGATAAAGACCTCCCCCCAAAGCAAGCATGTTGACTGGTAAAGGCTAGACCGAAATCTTCGGGTTCCTTAAACATTCCGTAAACTTTTCCTCATTGAAGGACGCGTGGATTCTGCCACCACAGCCAACTTCTACAACCCCCCCCCTCCATCCGAACTGCCAGGAATGGCTCAACCATCAAGCTGAGTGAGTTGCCTCAAACAGCAGATTTTTGGTGCTACAGAAGAGCAGCAAATGGCTAATTGTTCATGTTTTTAATATTACGATTCGAGATGGACACGAACTGCCAATTTGGCAGTTCGTGTGGGTTCGTTTCTCGGCCGAACAGGTGTTTGGCGGTTCCCAGCCCCGCCTCCTCCGGTGGGCATCCGCTCAGAGGCGGCGCCCTGTTTTTCCTGCCCCGCCTCCTTCAGGCGCTTGCCTCTGAGTGGGCGCCCACCGGAGGAGGCGGGGCTGGGAACCGCCAAACACCTGTTCGGCCGAGAAACGAACCGTCACAAACCACAAAATCCTAAATGATACACTAACCAGAGTCCATTCCCAAATATGCAGACACCAACAGGATTCCGGCTGTTGTGTGAAGGGCGACTTAAAATAGGATCATAGAACCACATAGCTGGCTATCAAGTCCAACCCCCCTCCTGCTCAATGCAGGAATCTAAGTCTATCTGACCGATGGATGGCTAGAAGTTTCTCTAGCTTCTCCATGCATTTGAACGTATTCCCTGGACAGAAATTTTAATATCTGCACTGCAATCCTGGCCATGCGCTTCTCTACAAGACCTGTTATCCTGCCCCTCCCACCCTCACCTGCCCTGGGCCTGTTTGTTTTGTGGACGTTTGATTCCCAGCATGGCTCCTCAGATGCATCCAGCCCAGGAACTAGCCGGCTTTTTAATTGATGAGACCACTCCGTCCAATCCTCAAAGCACCGGTAGGAGGGGAAGCCTCATTAGCACCAGTGGGGACCCACACATTACCTAAGACTGTGATGCCCAGGTGAGAAAGAAGGAAAATAAATAAAGACCAGAGACTCCGGGTGGGAAGAGGACGGAGGGAAGAGAAGATGCTAATTCCACTACAGTTGGGTAACCAACCCAGCAGCATCTCAAGGGCGATGTGGAGGGAAATAGACCCTCTGAGTCAGTGCTAGGTGAGTTTTTAAACGATGCACACTGATTAGTCACAGAAGGCTGGTGGCGGGCGGGGGCTGTTCGAGGATATACTAAATGCAGGAAGTGTGCGTAGTGAAAGCCAATACTATCCAACACGTTTCCAGTATTCAGTGGCTTAGGTCTCTGGCTGC